TTTGGGGGCTGGGGAGATAGCTCAGTAGAATAAGCATGTGCCTGGCAAGCTCAGGGTCCTGAGTTCAATCTCTAGTTCCGCCAAAAAAAAAAAAAATTAATAATAATAATTACAAGTTTGGTCAAGAAAATCCTCGAGAAAAGGGAGAAATCTTTTTCTTTTGACAATGGGGAAGATTCTGGGTTGTTTTTTGTTTTGTTTTGTTTTGTTTTTCTTCTTTAAATGCTTAACAATAAGAATAGTGCCTGACCTAGCTGTGACTTTAGCCCAGGCTCATTGACTTTGGGATAGAGCCTGCCATTTCAAACAGCTTTAAAGGAAACCAGAGAACAAAAACACAAAAACCTTGAAAGCCAGGAAGATGGCCCACATGTGTGAATGGGGGGATGCTAGAGGACTGAAGTACAGGCAGGCCTTCTGTATCAGTGCCACTCTATAGGCATTCAAATTTAAAACAAAACCAGCAACTACTGTGTTTGCCAAACAAAACAAGACAGGCAAATTCCACAGGAAATCCTCTTTTATTTGCTCACCCTGAGAAAAGTTGGCATGGAATAATGGCAAAAACATAAAAGACAGATATAACAAGGTTTAGTTACATCTTTTACTGGTTGTCTGATTTTGAACAAGTAAACTAACATCTCCAAACTGCTTCCCCATTGTAAATAGCTCACTAAAGGTATTCCCATGATTCAAGGAAGTATAATTTTCATAATTACGTTTCTATGTAGAACTCAACCTGATCATGCTATCCTCACTTCTGACCCTACTCCATATATTTTGGCTAAATGAATAAATAAAATGATCATTTTATTTATTCATTTAGCCAAAATATATGGAGTAGGGTCAGAAGTGAGGATAGCATGATCAGGTTGAGTTCTACATAGAAACGTAATTATGAAAATTATACTTCCTTGAATCATGGGAATACCTTTAGTGAGCTATTTACAATGGGGAAGCAGTTTGGAGATGTTAGTTTACTTGTTCAAAATCAGACAACCAGTAAAAGATGTAACTAAACCTTGTTATATCTGTCTTTTATGTTTTTGCCATTATTCCATGCCAACTTTTCTCAGGGTGAGCAAATAAAAGAGGATTTCCTGTGGAATTTGCCTGTCTTGTTTTGTTTGGCAAACACAGTAGTTGCTGGTTTTGTTTTAAATTTGAATGCCTATAGAGTGGCACTGATACAGAAGGCCTGCATGTACTTCAGTCCTCTAGCATCCCCCCATTCACACATGTGGGCCATCTTCCTGGCTTTCAAGGTTTTTGTGTTTTTGTTCTCTGGTTTCCTTTAAAGCTGTTTGAAATGGCAGGCTCTATCCCAAAGTCAATGAGCCTGGGCTAAAGTCACAGCTAGGTCAGGCACTATTCTTATTGTTAAGCATTTAAAGAAGAAAAACAAAACAAAACAAAACAAAAAACAACCCAGAATCTTCCCCATTGTCAAAAGAAAAAGATTTCTCCCTTTTCTCGAGGATTTTCTTGACCAAACTTGTAATTATTATTATTAATTTTTTTTTTTTTGGCGGAACTAGAGATTGAACTCAGGACCCTGAGCTTGCCAGGCACATGCTTATTCTACTGAGCTATCTCCCCAGCCCCCAAACTTGTAATTATAATCCTTCTTCATCTCTATATGTATACATCTTAAAAAAAAAAAAAGTCAAATAAGCCTCTTGTCATATGTAAGTCAGGAATGTAGCCTGTGAACAGTTACATCTCTTGCCAGATACAAATCAAGACTCTTTTTAAGGTCCCGACACACAACCTTTTTAAATGTCAGTATTAAGGACACCATGAGAATTACCCCAACTGCCACGACCCAAACTGCAAGTACTTGCTTGCCAGAAAGAGAAGTTTTGTTTTGCCTCTGGATAAATTAACACGGATGGCCACCCTAAGGGGCAACTACCAAAGTGTGAGTAATAGTAAATAATGCTATCAAGTCCTCCCCTGTGAGAATATACATACAATGGATTGTAACTGTTTGGCCACATAAAAAGGTACGATTTCACCCTACTTTTGTAATCTCATTAGATTGCCTGACGCTCATCCCATTCTGCTTTGACGCTGATACAATAAAACTGATTTTTTTTCTTTTGTTTTCTGTGGGGGGAGGGGGATCTTGAAAAAATTTCCTTGTAAAAATCAACTTACTTAATCACTAGCGACCCTCCGCCGCCACCTTCCCAACTGCTTTCAAAAGTAAAGTATTTCTGTGGCGGCTACTCCCAGGTTTACCTCAAAGGGTGCTCTGAGAGGCCGGAGGCGCCCGGCATTCCGCCATCGCCGCTCCCAACATTCCCCGCGCGGCCGGCTCCCACGACTTCTTCTTCCGGTCCGCGGGCGGCGGAAGCTGAAAGCGCTGTGATTACCCTGTGGCTCCAGGGTCGATTCACCTTCACCTGTGCAGCGTCCCTGGCCACCCAAAGCAGCAGCCGGGCGAGCCGTAAAACATGAACGGAAGAGTAGATTATATGGTCACTGAGGAAGAGATCAGTCTTACCAGAGGACCGTCAGGTAGGATTAGGGGACTTTGCGGAGTTGCAGAGCGAATTGGTTTTTCTGGGCCGGATTTACCTGCACTCACCGCGGGGAGGCCCCGACCTAGAGGTTTTTGTAACACTAGGGCACCGAGAAAGAGTATGTGGACATCCATCCGTGGCCAGGTAACGGGACTCCCTTGATAAGCCGGGCGAATCCCTGCCGGTACTTAAGAGTCAGAATTTTTCTTTCTGATAACGGTGCTAGAAAAGAATAGGAAAAGGCCGGCCGGTGACCCTGCGTGTCGTTCTCACCACATCCTGGCCTCCCTTGGCTGCTCTGTCTCTGTTCGTAGGATGAAACGTTTAGTACAAATGGAAGCATAAACGACGTGGACTGTGACTGCGTAGCTGTTTGCCCAGAGCAGAGATCCCTCTCTCCTTTGATTTCTGGGAAATTCGTTCGCATTGTCAGCTGTGGTGTTAGAGCAGGAAGAGACCTCAGAAAGAAAGATTTTTCTTTGCCGAAGCTTCCAGACTTAGTGTCGCTACAGAGTTATTAAGGGTGTTTTGATTTTGCTTTTTGATTAAAAAATTAAAATGGAGAGTTCCAGGTTCCAATTTTAAGGGTTGGATTCAGTATGATTTTTTTTTTTTTTTTTTTTTTTTTAATACCACGTTATTCAGACACAGCCAAATCCTTACTTTCTTGTGCTGTCCTTTTCCCCTCAGATCCTCTTCACCAGGCTGGGATCTGGGTGTTAGTACCTACTACCTTCCATGGATTCTGTTGTACTTTCTTGACGGTTTAGTTATCACGGAAGAGCTTTTGCTGTAGAATTACACTGCTTAGGATCAGATCTTGTTTCTAGCTTCTTACCCGTTTGAGATCTATTTGATTAACCTTACTGATACCTTATTTTCTTATCTGTAGAATGGGGATGATTGTGGAATGCATTTCATGGTGTCATGAAACTGAAATGGGTTAGTCTCAAAGTGTTTGTTTGCTGTTGTTATTATTGTTAATGATTATGGCCAAACGGACATAGTTAAATCCTGCTATTATATATTCTGTTCCTAGAAACTCTAATAGATTATCAAATACCATAAGCTCTATCTCTAAATTGTTCTGAAAACCTTTCGTTCATTTCTGTTTCTATTGTTACTACCTGGAACAGTTCATTGCCATTTCTTATCTGAAAATTTGCATTGGCTTAAGCATCAATAGACTATTCTTTACAAAAGTGGCCTTGGATCTGGTTATGGTGGCACACACTAGTAACTCTGGTGCTCTGAGAGGCTGAGACAAAAGGATTGCAAGTTCGAGCTCAACCTAGGAGCAATTTAGAGACTTGGACCCTGTCTCAATTAACAAAAAATGAAAAGGGCTTTGGATGCAGTTCAGTGTGGCGGTCCTAGGTTCAATCTCCAGTGTCCAAAAACAAATAAATACTGTGGTTTTCAGAACTAGCCATACCTTATATGTTTCTTCCTTTTATAAAAAACTGAAAGTTGATCTTCCTTATAGAAGTGTAACACATCGTCAATCTTTGTTATTTGTAATCATGCTCCAGGTGAGCTCCTGAACTTCTATTCAAACTTATTCCATAAACTTCTTATATTAGTTTTTCCACATTAATATAAATTTCTCCACAATATTTTTTTAATTTTTGAGGCTAAAATGTTAGACACAGATTTTTAAAGCAAATTTTGTTTTTCTGTATTTTTCATTTTATTGATCCTTCTTTTAGGACTAGTTAAATAAGCACAAGGTTTTATTGCTATCCAAATATATAAAGGCTTCTAGTTGTTTTGCCTCTTCCTTGTTTAGTTTAAATATCCTATTATGGCATTACCTCTTGGGTTGTTGTTTGAGGTCTGCTTCTTGCCTCATGCTTAATAAAGAGTTTAATCTGCTTTGATGTGGTCCCTTTGCTGCAGTAGCCACATTACTAAGAGCAGTATGGAATCTTGATGTTACGGTTTTTGTTTTAGGCACTAAATATTTTTTATTTTTAAAATTGTTAAATTTTTTAATTTGTACATGCTTTCAGTACAAAATGTTTACATTCCTCATAAGGCATTGGTACATGAATATGACACATATTAATTCCTGGGGTAGGGAATGTAGCTCAGTGGTATAACATTTGCCTAGCATATGTGTCGCCCTAGGTTTGGTCCCCAGCACCCCAAAACACAAAATATCTTAATTTCTTATTTCATATCTTTTCCCCCTCCCATCTCCCCTTACTGCATCTCTTCATTCCCTTACTTCCTATTATCTTTTATTTTGCTCTGTATGTATATTTGGATTGCTCATATAAGAGAAACCATGCAGGTTATTAAAACTTGTGTGTCTGATTTATTTCACTTAACATGATCTCAAGGTATATCCATTTTTCCTGTGAATGACTCAAACTTATTTTCCTTTCTGGCAGAATAGTACTCCTTTCTGAGTAAATACTATATTTTCTTTATTTTTCTGTTGATGGATATGTAGGCTACTTTAAAAATTTAGGTGTTAGAAATTATGCTGCTGTAACTATAGGCATGCATGTATCCCTGTAATAAGATATGTTTACCTCTTTTAAGAAAATACTAAGAAAGTGAATAGCTGAATCAAATGGAATTTCTAGTTATAGTTTTGTTTTGTTTTGTTTTGTTTTGTTTTTAGAATCTCCATGTTGATTATGGGTAATGGTTGAACTAGTTTTCAGCCCCCCAACAATGTAGAAGGATTCCTTTTGCCTTAACTTTGCCAGCATTTATTATTTGAGTCTTTGATGTTGGCCATTCTTTTTGGAATAAGGTTTCTGTGTTATTTAAAATTGCTTTTTTCTAATAGCCAGTGAAATTGAGCATGTCTTCATGTATTTATTGGCTATTTTTACTATTTCTCTGAGGTATCTATTCATTTTATGTGCCCATTTTTTGATTGGGTCTTTTATTTGAGGGGGGGAGTCTAATTTTTTAGTTCCCTCTATATTCTAAATATTGGTTCCGTGTCTGAAGAATAGCTGGAAAAATTATTTCCCATTCTGTAGGTAGTCTTTTCACTGTTGGTAGTATTTTTTGCTTTTTATTTGATATCATACCATTTGTTGATTATTGTTGTTATTGCCCATGTAGCGGGATTTTTGTTGAGAAAGTCTTTCCCTACTCCTGTGGACTAAATATTTTTAAAATATATCACTCCATCTTCTTTGATATTTGCCTAGGTTTTCTCTAATATTCAGCTCATAATTTACCAAACTTTCTGAACCTGTTGATCTTGGAGACCTAAAGTTCTTAGTGCTATATATTGTTTGCTTGAAAGGGTTAATTATACTGAGTTGATATATTTTACTCATAAGTGATTTAATTTCCAGGTTGTCTATCTGTTTAGAATGAGTTAATCCACTAAATGGCCTTCTTGAATCTTCCTAAGCATGTTTTTGTCTTAGTCATTAAAAGCCAGTAAAATTTTCTGGAAGAGTAGGCCCACACATTTAGGATTGAATTTGGATAAAAACAGCATTTAAAATTTGGTTGGTTCAGTTCACAAGGAGATGTTGTCAACTCCTGTTTATCACTTTCTGGAATGTGGTCTCAGTCTAGTGCAGCTTTTCCTCATAGTGTTATTGAGAAGGTGCTTGGGGAAGAAGTAATTATCACTAGAAAATTCTATGTAATGATAGCCTTATAGCGACCTTTGTTTCTGTAGGAGAAATGTGAAAAGTCTGTAATTTTAGTTACATATTTCTGGTTATAGCCCAGCGTTGTCCCTCTGTTTTTTTAACATCTTCCTGCTCAGCGGCAGGAAGCAGTTAGTCAACTGCAAGAATATTGGAGTCTCCCATACTTTTAGTGTTAGGTCCATTTTACACGGCAAGTGAATCTACTATGTCTTGGTGCAGGAGAAGTAAGATCATAGAGAAATTATGTCAATGAAATGAATGTCTGAGGAGACAAGAGAAAAGCTTGCCATGTATTGTACTCACTTTGACTGTGTAGGAAGAAACTTGCTCTAGATGACTTAAGAGTTCTTGCCACTTCCAAGAGTTCCTTATTTTGGACCCACTCTATGTTATTTTAAATTATTTACATATTTATAATTCCAGCACTGAAAAGTTTGAGACAGAGGGGTTGTAAATCTGAAGCCAGTCGGGGCTGCATACGTACATAAGGAGTTCAGGGCTGGCCTAAAATACATAATGAGACCTTGTCACAAACCAATAATTCTTGTTTCTTGCTAATATATGGGGGGTGTTAATTTTTAAAATTTTTATTAGTACATATTTGCATTATATATAATTTCATTCATAATGTACATAACACTTACTAAACATTTTAATTCTTTTTACTTCATCTTCCCCCTACTTCCTTTGCCCCACCCCTTATCTCTAGATCTCTTTCTCATTTGCAAAAGCTCTATCTTCCTGTTTCCTATTATCAGTCTTTTCACTTCCTGCCATTTGGAATAGGTAGGAATCTAAACAATTGTTAAAGGCAGTGATTAACCATCTCAAATGCCTTCAAAGATTGAGTTGAACAGTTCACCTTTTATCTTTATGAAACATTGCCTCTCTTTCCTTTTCACCAGAATCCATCTTGATTTTAGTGTAAAGGTCCCTTTTTTTTCCTTCATCTATTGACAGTTCTTAATGTTTGAAAAACTTGGTTACTTATAAGAAGTGTAATGGTGTTCTAGCTGTTCTTTTCTGTAACAAGTAGAAGTCTATGAAGGCAGGACTCTTGTATATGGGGTAATACTAGGATTCCTGTGTTGAGGTCTAAAGGCTCAATGGATTTCAGCAAGTTGCTCCTAAAATGCTGTTTTTAAGAGAGGGAAAAAGAGAATATGCCCTTGTTCTATTTTAAAGGACTTGCAGAGGAAGGATGGTTGATAGTAGGTTTTTTTGTTTGTTTGTTTTTGTTTTTAATTTTAGTACAGGGTCTACAGGGTCTCACTACACAGATCGGACTCATAGTGATTCTCCTGTTTTCAGCCTCCTGAGTGCTGGGATTACAGGGGCAGGCCACCACACCCAGTCTCAG